GTTCCAGGCCAGGTTGGATGGGGCTTGGAGCAACCTGGGCTGGTGGGAGGTGTCCCTGCCCATGGCAGGGGGTGGGACTGGATGGATCCCAACCCAAACCAGTCTCCGATTGTATGACAGGGCAGCCCCTGTGGTCACAGCAGGACCCACAGGCTGGGGACAAGGAAACAAAACTGCTGTGGTTCCTGCAGAAGCAGCTGATGGAGTTTCCTCATTTTAGGAGGAAGCAGCAGGTGGGAGAAGCACTCAGGCTTGCAGAGAGCAGCTGATAGATTTATTTTTTTTCTTGGCAAAGAGGCTAAATTCCCTTTGCAAAGGGAGGGCTGTCAGGGAGGATGGTCCTGGCATTCTGTGGGCACTTTGCCTGGGAAGCAGCCCTGGAAGCCAAGGCAGGCAGAGTTCCCAGTGCTGCTGTCATCAGCTCTGTCCCCCTGAGGATGTTGGTGTGGGGACACAGACCCAGCTGTGACCCAGAGCATCAGCTGGCTGGGCAAACCCCAGCTCTGCTGGGAAGTGGCATGGCTGGGAGAAGGGAAGGGGACATTCCAGGAAAAGCAGAAAAAGGCTTGCATGTGGATTAAAATAGTGATTATTGTAGCTCCTGAAACGCATGGGACTGGGCTGGGTGCTGCTGCCACCACTGCTTTAGATTCATGGGTAGCAGTGAGGACATTTAAGGGTGAAGAAAGAGGAAAAAAAAATCAGTTATGTGAGTGATTAGGGGGGTAAAAAATAACATCAGCCTTTTTTTCTTCCCCATTATAGTAAATAAAAAGTGCGTGGAAGCTGGGATAGGGAGGGATTACTAGGGTGGAGCACAGGATTACAGGAACACCCAGGAGAAATTAAAGAGCAGTTTGACGCCATCGTCCCTGCGGTCACGAGGGGTTGTTGGGATTTTCCTTCCCAGCACATAGAGACAGTAGAAGTGCCTAATATTCTGTGATTCCCCAAAAGGAGCTGGTGGGAATGATGGAGGGATCCCATCCGTGGAGGAAAGGCTGCTCAGGTGGCTGCAAGGGTCTGGCTCCTGCTTCATGGGTACAAAACCAGTGCCACTGTCCACACAGGAGTGATTTAGGCACAGACAATGCCTTTGGGTCAAAACACATGGGTTTTAGGGTGTGGGAATGCAGCAGTAGCTCCTCTCGCCCTCAACTGCTGAGCTTAAAGTGTGAAATAGGGACCTGGAGGAGCTCAGACATACCTGGTGCCTCAGGGGATTAGGATTTAGCAGCTCCCAGCTGCCATGTGCTTTGCCCAGCAGTTGGAGCATCCCTCCCTTCCAAATCTTAAGCAGCAAAGAAATTAATTTCACCTCTAAACACCAGGATTGCAGGACCAGGGTCTTCCTGCTCTAAACCCCCTTTTGTCTGTGCTCCAGGGCTTTGATGCTGGGCCCAGGAAAGAGGAGCTCCCCCTCCTCCCCAAGCATCTGAGGGCAGAGCAGGATTTTGAAATGCCTTATCTGGCGCAGAAAGGCAGAAAATCAAGTGTAAATCTCCAGCCTTGGAGACGTTTCACTGCTGAGATGGATGGGGGGAGTGAGCTGAGAATTGATGGCGTCTGTCTGGGGGCTTAAATCAGGAAGGGCTTGGGAAATGCAGACTTAGGGGGTGGGTTTTTATTCAGAAGGCATTTTGGGGGCAACAAACCCCCCAGGCAGTGGAGCAGGAAGGTGAGAGGTTTGTTCCCTCAGCCTCCTACCCCTGCCCCCAGCCCAGGGATAGTTCAGAGGGGCAGATGAGCCCCAGTGTCTAATTAGGTGTCAGCTCTGGGGTGTTTGTTTTCCTCAGCCCATGCATTGCTGAGGGTTGTAGGAAGGAGGGAGGGCTCAACCTATTTTATCTTCATCTTTTTTCCCCCTTTTTTGGTGACTCTTCAGCCACACAATAGTGAGGGTACGAACAGTAGCATCTTGCCTTGCTGCTGGTGGTGGGAGAGCAGATACCAGAGGTAGGACATGAGCATCCTTCCCTCTGTTCAGTACAGGGATGTTTTACGTTTAGGGGGATAACTAGCACACAGAGCAGTCTCATGGGGATCTGCCTTATTCAAAGCCTTGTTTTTTGTCATCTCCTGCCTGATCCTCCCATATTTTTGAAAGCACCTGTGGAGTGAGCAGCTCTTTCCATCTAAGGTTGGATTTGATGATCTTGGAGGTCTTTTCCAGCTGGAATAATTCTGTGATCCTTCCTCATAGTTTTGGCTGGGAATGAGAACCTGTTCAACTCATCACTGAATTTTGTGTTCAGAGAGCACAGGTGGCTGCTTTTTGCTGGTGTGTGTGCTCAGCGTTCCCTAACTATGGGGAATGGTGGGAGCATCAAGGGCACTGACAGCAGTGCTAGGAGTTTGGGTTGGGAAAGCAGGAGGGTGGAGGGTCTTAGAGGATTCTGCAGATGTGGGAGGTATCCATGCACACCTGGTGCATAGGAATTTCTGGAAAGGAGATGGATCTGTGCTCCCAGGGCTGGGGCTGCAGGTTGTGGTCCTTTATGCCAGTGTGGTCCTGGCAGCCAACAGCAAAGTTGTACGGGGGCTGGTAGGGGAAGAGGTGTTAACCCAGTGTTAACAAAAGCACCTTGGCTCTGGAAACAGGATTTCAAGGTGCCTGAGCCTGGGATCCTCTCAGCAGCTGAGCTCAGGCACAGCCAGTTTGAAAGCTGGAGCAAAGCAAGAAGCAAACTTGCTGCTCCCAAGCTGCGAAGGGTCACCTTTCCCTCCAGGGGATGTTCTCAGGCTTCACAGTTCTTTAATTACAAAGGGAAAACAAGCTCACCCAGGGTGTTCAGACCAAAGAGGAGAGAGAAATCAGCTGCCAGCCTCCAAATGCTTAAAACATGAAAGTGAGGAGATGCTCTGTTGATCCCATTCCCATGCTCGCAGGGGGGCACAGCATGAAGGTACTTGTGTTCATAGAGCCACAGAGTGGTTTGGGTTGGAAGGGACCTGAAAGACCATCTCATTCCAACCTCCTGCCATGGGCAGAGTCACCTTAGAATCGTCAAGGTTGGAGGAGACCTCTAAGATCATTGGGTCCAGTCATTAACCTGTCACTGCTGTAACCCCTAAACCCTAACCCACATCCTTCAGGGCCAGAATCAGATCCATCTTAAACATTTCCAGGGGTAGTGACTCTACCACCTCCCTGGGCAACCTATTCCAGTGCCTGAATACCCTAACAGGGAAACATTTTTCCTAACATCTAATCTGAATCTCAAACCTCAAACTCAAACCTTTCACTTGACCACATAGAGTTGGATTTCCAGCTGCAGCAGTGGTTAACCACACTGTTGGGCTGAGGAGGTTGGAAACAAGATTCTTTGGGAAATCCAGACGGAAATTTAGCTGTAGCATCACTATTGCTAAATTCCAGCTGCTTCCCTCCCCTCCATCTTTCCAAAGACAGACAGGCACAGAGGTACATCTCTGTCTTGGGAATGAAAATGATTTCTGAAGCAAAACAAAGCCCCCAGCCCTCTCATGCAGGAGGGAGCAAATAAATGGGTGAATGAGTGCCACAAATATTAGCATTTCAGAGAGAGCTGCTGGATGGAGATTGTTCACCACCAGGCAGGCTTTAATGGGACTGATAAGGTTTGCTTTTGTTCTGGGGGCTCTTACTTAATCAGGCTGTCTCCTCGCGATTTTTCTATCGGCTCACTTCATCGCCCAACTTTCATGTGCCGAGGCCCAGCTGCAGCAAATCTTGTTAAAATGGCCTTGTTCAAACACAGGCACTGGGTTTGTTCCCTAGAGCTGCACCAGGGCTGGATGGAGTGCAAGGCTGCAGGAATCAAAGAACTCTTTGGCCTGTGTATTTTATAATTCATTGCATAGCTAAGTTGTTGGGATATTTTTCCCCTTCCTCTAACAAGCTTGAAGCCTTTTCTTCCCTATCTAAAGGAATATTATCTGAGGAGGCATTTGGGTAGGGGGGTTTAGAGACCTGCTGCTTTCCCTGTATCCTTTGTCAATGATGGAACAGCTTCCCTGTGCCTTATTAGTATTGCTCTCCTGCATTTATTTGATATCAGAGCCCTCTGCAAATAAAAATTTCAAAAGCTGCTGCTCCTTGCCACTGCAAGTGGCAGAAAAGAAAAGATGATGGGAGTCCTGAGGGGCTTTCCACAGTCAGGTTAGCAAACACTAAGACAAAGCATGGCACAGAGCCTTTCCCTAATTGAATCCCTGGTTAATTTGGGCCTTCATTTAATTTGCCCCCTGCTCTAGACGTCGGGTGATTCTCACTGAAAACAACCCAAAATGTGCTGATTTATTTGGTGTTTTGATCCCTGGGCCTGTGAGTGCTCCTGGATAATTCAGTCCCTGAAGGCAGGAGCTTGCTGGGGGAAGCTGGAGCTGGGGAATGTGGAACCCCTGTAATTAGATGATGACTCCAAAGGGTTATTTAGATCTTGCAGTTGGCATTAGTTGCTCGGCACAAGCTGAAGCTTGCACCACCAGCACTAGGAGGATCAGCTGCTTCTGTCAGCCCCTGAAAGATGTTTCCTTCCAAACATGCCCAATTTTTTTCCACTCACCCAGTTGTTTTTGCACTTTTAATGGAGCTGAAATTTAAATCCACTGAAAGCAGAGTCAGTTGCCCAGGTGTCTGCATGATCTGGAGACTTGAGCTGCCTAAGTGCTGTCCCTAATTAAACCTGCCCTGTGCTGCTAATGGAGATTAGTGCAAGGAGGAGAGACCTAATGGACTTTCCATCTGAGGCTCTTGGCGAAGTTGAGGGGGTTTTTCCCCATCCTGTTAACTTGATCTGGGAATAGGGGAAGGGTAAGGAGAGAAAACCTTGTTTCCACTTTGTGGCAGCTTTTTGGGGGAGAGCAGATCCAATTCTAACCCATCAGGCTTGGTGCCACAGTTTGAGTAGTTTTCCAGGGAAGGAACAGACATTGATGCTTCCCCAGGGGGAATGCTGGTGGCAATTCAGTGCTTGAAATCAGTCACTGGGGCTCTTCAGCCTGGAGAAGAGGAGACTGAGGAGAGACCTTATTGCTATATGTAACTTCTTCATGAAAGGAAGTGAAGGTGCAGCACTGACCTCTTCTCTCTGGTGAGCAGTGACAGCAGCAGAGGCAATGGCATGGAGCTGTGTCAGGGGAGGGTTAGGCTGAATATCAGGCAAAGGTTCTTCCCCCAGAGGGTGTTTGGGCACTGGAGCAGCTCCCCAGGGCAGTGGTCACAGTCCCAAGGCTGACAGAGCTCCAGGAGTGTTTGGCCAATGCTCTCAGGCACAGGGTGGATTGTTGGAGTGCCCTGGCCAGGGCAGGAGTTGGACTGGATGATCCTCAAGGGTCCCTTCCAACTCTGTATATTCTGTGAAATGACCAAACCAGCCCCGTGTGCGATGACCCATGAGCTCAGTCTGCAAAAATCATGTTCCTGATGCGTTTTGTGCTTGAATTTCACAGATTCTTCTCCAGAAGCACAGCCCAAGTACATCAAGGGTGGCAAACGCTATGGCCGACGTTCCCTGCCGGAGTTCCAGGAGTCAGTGGAGGACTTTGCTGAGGTGACTGTCATCGAGCCGCTGAGCGAGGAGCCTCACCCCACACACATTGCCTCCAGCGAGGAGGTGAGCACGAAGGGGATGAGCACTGGGGTGGGCAGACATCACTGCTCCCCACATCCCAAGGGGGTTTGGATGTGCTTGGAGCCTTCCCAGCAAAGCCCTCCTTGCCTGCCCCATGCCAGGTGGCACCTCCATGCTCTGCATTCCCACCCACAGGCAGGCTGCCATGGGAAGCTGGGAAGGAGGCAGGGGGGACGTGCTCCGGGTGCTGGTGCTTCTGGCCTCACCATGCTCCTGGCTGCAGTGTGGGCCAGCAATTAAGTGAGGGCTGCAGTGCTGCTTCTGTGGCTAACGAAGTGTGGGCTGGGAGCTCCGCGAGCAGCCGGAGCATGTCTGCATCCATTAGCTCAGCTGCCAAACTCTGGCCCAGCAGAGGGGATGGGGAAGAGAGGTGGTGGGTGACAGCTCTCCAGCCAGTGCGTGCCTTGGGATTTAGTGCCCTAAATCCAGAGCCACCAGCTGCTTCTCTCAGTCTTCCACTTATTTTCCCAGAAAATTTGTGTGCTCCTGCAGGGAAGCAAAAGGGCTCTTGGCACCCCCCATGTCCACCTGTATACACTTGCTCCAAAATCCAGGTATTTATTCCCCCCTGCTTTTGTGATCCAAATTCATGGCTCTCTTTGTGCCAGTACTTTCAATCCCCAAATCTCCTCTTGTTTCTCCAGCACAGAAAAGCTGAAGGTGCTGAGTGGTTGGGATTGGTGGTGTGCACAGCCACAGTGGCTTTTCCCTGGAGTTGGGCTGCTTCCAGCCTGCTCCAGTTTGCCAAGTATTGTTGATTCAGGAGCACGGAGTTGGAGTTTTCCAGTGGGAAGGAGAAATGCTGCTGCTTTCTCCCCTCCTCTGTCTCCTGACTTCATTTGTGAGAGTGGGGGAGCTCTGCTGCCACATTTGTAGGGGGACACCCAACCCTACATGGGAAAGCAAGGGAGAAATTTCCAGTTTCCAGGTTTTCAGTGTTATTCCAGTGCAGTTGAGCTTAAAAAAAAAACCAAAACCACATTGAAGTAAAGCTTTTCCACCAGGCCGTTTCTTTTCCCTGCTCTTGGTGACCTTTGCTCACCACCACAGGGATGCTCATCCATCTCCTGGTGCTGGCCACATGGGCTGCCCTGACCTTGGAATCGATGTTAATCCACCCACAGCCCCCAAGGAAGTGATGCCCTTGATGGAAGAGGCTACTCTAATCTTACTCCTTGGTTTTAGCTGTCGCGGAGGTGTAAAAGGGTGGTCTATTAACAAGGTCAGTTAATTAACCCAGCTGGTATGTAACCATGCTGTGCTGTGGGGGCTGGAGCAATCTCCTGCTGGGAATGCTTGTAGCACCTTTTGAGGTGATGGGATGGATAATTCTCTTGAAACCTGAGCGAAAAACAGGCAGAACTTGTCAAATCCCTACTTTATCAACATTAGCATCTCATCTCTAAAGCAGAACCTCTTGGTATGCGTGGAAATGAGTTGCTGGGAGGTGTTGGGGGTCCTGGGCTGTGTTGGAGACTCCTGATGGCTTGGGGCTTGGCACAGCTACCAGGCTCTGCCTAGTTTTCTCCTGTTGTGTGTACAAACACGCTGCTGCCGGCGTTCCATGAGCCTGCCCCCGGCCCTGGCTCTCTGTGGCCTGAGAACTGGGACAGGGTGGCTTAATTGGTGCTTGCTCTCAAGCAGTGCCAATTAAAAGGGCTCAGGCTCTGTCTGAGAGGTTTCCTTCCTTCCTTCCCCTCCTCATCGCTGTAAACACAAGAGGAGAGGCTGCAGGGCTGGTCTGTGTGTGAGATCAACTGCCTGGAGAGGCGCCGTGGCCTCCACCCCTAGTGGTTTTCCAGGTGCTGCAGGATAAAGTGATGAGCAGTTGGGTCTGGATTTGGCATTGACCTGCTGTGAGCAGGGAGTGGTGGTGGGATCCTCTGACCTGCAGGAGTTTGTCCCCATGGGTGATATTAGGCTAATGGGTGGTGAGAAGTGTGTGGCGCTGGCAGCTTTAGGGATGTGATGCTAATGGAGCTGCAGCTGTGGAAGCATCTGGAAATGCCAGGTGAAAGTACATGGTGGTTAAAGCTGCCTATCTGAGCAATGTGGTCTAGTGGAAGTTGTCCCTGCCCATGATGGGGGTGGAACTAGGTGGTCGTTAAGGTCCCTTCCAACCCAAACCATTCCATGGTTCTGTGATCTCTCTAATCCTGGCTGCCACCTGTCCTAAACTTTTGATATGGGTGATGGTTCTTGAAGTGCTGTGACCTTGCTTTTGTTTCCATTCTGCCTTGTTTTACACCTGATGATGATCTGCTTGATGGTGGTGATGCCGGAGTGGGATGAGGAGCAGGTTTGGTGGCCATGGGGTGCCAACCCCAAGCTGGTGGTTAGGGCAGTAACACCCTTTGTCTCCTGGGGTCCCAACAGCACACCCAGGGGAACACAGCCAGATGTGTCCATTCTTAAGGCCATGCTGACTTTGTATCTCACTGTAGAACATCTGTCACCTCCCCTTCCCCAACTGTTGGCTCTGCTCTGGGAAAAGTCCCTCCTACTCAAAGGTTCTTAGGATCCCAGAATGGTTTGGGTTGGAAGGGGCCTTAAAGACCATCTTGTTTCAACCCCTGCCATGGGTTGGGACACATTGTACTAGACCAGGTTGCTCAGAGCCCAGTCTAAACTGGCCTTGAGGTTGTATAAACCATTGTCACATCCCAGCTCTGTTCATTCAGTGCTTGCCAGAGCCACTTGCTCCCATCACCTGTGTGTTTGCCTCTGCACAGAGTGCATTCCAGCATGGCATGGCCCTGGAGCAAAAATGCTGTATTGAGGTCTTTGATGTACAAATGTCAGGCTCCTAAAGGGAGACTGTCCTGTAAAGCCAGGATTTGCAGAGAAGTTTGGGACAGTGCCTGCTCCCTGCAAAAGTGCCTTATAGATGTGACTCGGGTGCTTTGGAGCTGGAGGCACCCAGCAAAGTGGGGTGTGGAGATTCCTGGTTTTCTGAGGTCTCTGCTCTGGCTGCTGAGCTGATCTTTGGATCTGAGAAAAGCAGGGTCCATCAGCACTGGAGTGATGTCTCACCTTGCAGTGTGCACAGCCGACCGGGCTCAGCATGCACTCCTGATCATCATTTTAATTAGCAATATATTCTGGGGGAGAACAAAGGTCTGTCTGGCTGGAGCAGATGGCAGGGGGGGAGAGGTTGCTGCTGCCTTATTATGGGGAAGAGGCCACGGCGAGCAAACGGCACAGGCTGCAGATGCTCGCCCGGCCCCGTGCGCAGCATTGAGAGCCGCAGCCATCTGCTCCTGGCCCGGGCGAGCACGCGTCTCCGGGATAATGCCACATTCCTGGGGTCTCCGTGCCCGCACGACGCCGGGATGAGTGTGACCCCCGGCCAGCTGGAGCCCTGCCGGGGCCACGGGGACAATGCCGTGCCTGACATGGGATGTGCCGTCCCTCCGCGCCCGTCCCAGCCCCTCTTTGTCCTCGCCCCGGCGGTGGCCGACCCTGAGCCCCCAGCGCACAAAGGGACCCCGAGCCGTCCCCAGCAGGGCCCCGGCACGGGGAGGGAGGTCACACGAGCACCCCAAGGTCTCTGCCAGGGGGTTGCCAGCCCATAGTCCTCCTGCTGTGTTCAGGCTCTTTGAGTTGTTGGGATTTATGGAGTTACCGTGTGCTACAGTTTGTAGAATACCAGAATGGGTTGGGTTGGAAGGGATCTTAAAGCTCATCCAGTTCCACCCCCTGCCATGGGCAGGGACACCTTCCACTAGACCAGGTTGCTCCAAGCCCCATCCAACCTGGCCTGGAGCAATTCCAGGGCTGGGATCTGACAGTACTTGTTGCCCCAGCTGCTGCTTTTTCTGTGCTCACCCTGGTGGGACAGCCCTCGCCTGGTCTAGCAGCTGAAACAGGAACAAGCAGCGGAGCTAAAAAAAGTCCAGTGACCTAATCCAGTTTCCATGGCAACGTTGTAGATTAATGGCTTTTAGCTGTAATCTGAATGAGACGTATTGAACTTTTCTATGATGATTTAGAGCCTCTTTATGTCCTGGGTGACTTTGACTCCAAATCCATCAGTCACGTGCAGGCAGAAGTATCCACTTGTCCTGGTGGAGAAGCAACATCTGCCGATGCTGCTGCTAAACCAGAACTTAATGTCGTGGAGCATCGCGTGGGAGTAAATACCCTCAGCTGCTACAAGGGTGGTAGGGATGAGACAACATGTAGTACATGAGGAAATCATCTTAAATTATGTACTTCTGCCCTGCTCCCAGTGCTGCCCGAGCTGATGTGCTGTTCCCAGAGGGTGTGGGAGGGCTTAAGACCACCAAAGAATGGGTTTTTTTTTCCTCTGTCAGTGAAAAGCTTGTTGGCAGCACAGTTCTGTCTCCTGACCTAGAGCTGCAGTTAATGGAGGAGTTTTGGAGTGGGCTTGGCTGAATGTGGGGGAAAATAGGGTGCTGGAAATAAAGGATAACCCAGGCAGTGGCTAAATGCAGCCCATGATCTTCCCTGCATCCTCATCACCTCACCCATTGATATCTAATACAAGCAGCATGGTTTACTTGCAGTGCAAACCCCTCCCTCCCCATCACCCTGCTGGACTGTGATCTGTCACCTCCTGGGGGTCATTTGCAGGGCTTGAGGCATCTCTTGCTGCAGCTGTGCTTTCTCCCCACTGGAGAACTGCGCGTGCGAGAACAAGGCAGGATCAAAGAGCTGCGGATTGCCAGCCCAGCCTGCAGGGAGCAGGGAGATGAAAGCCCAGTGGCGTTGCTGGAGCCTTGCAGATCCTTCAGTGCTGATAGCAGAGTCTCTTTCATTTGGGTGATGTCTTGCAATAGTAATAACTCAGGAACCTTTTGTTTTCTCCCCAGCACTGGAAGGCGCGAGACAGTGAGGAGTATGAGGCTGAGGGTAAGAGCAAAGAGCAGCACTTGTATGTGTTTATTCTCTTTTCAGCTTTGAAGATGAATTGGAGGAGCACTCAGAGAGGGTCTCAGGCCAGCTGGGTGTGTGGAGATCCCAGCCTGGCTGGTGCAGAGCTCAGGAAGCTGCACCTGGGGCAAGCAAGCCCCAAGCTGGGGATGGCAGCTAACGTGGGGCGCTTGGGAGGGCACATCTCCTGCCTTGCCTTCTCTGCCTTCTTCATCCTGCTGTGGGTGCTCCTAGTCACCCTGGCCTCAGCACCCCCATCCTGGTCCTGATCCCTGCTCCTCCCCAGGGGGATCTGGCTGTAGTGGAGCCCGGTGGGCACTAGATGTCAGCAGGGACCTGTCATTAAACGTCCCCTAGTTGTCCTAGAATGATAAAATCATACAGTTCGGGTTGGAAGGGACCTTAAAGATCATCTCATTCCAACCACCTGTCATGAGCAGGGACACCTTCCACTAGCCCAGGTTTCTCCAAGTCCCATCCAACCTGGCCTGGAACACTTCCAGGAAGAGCTACCACCCCTCTGTGCCAGTGTTTTACCACCCTCATTGTAAAAAAACTTCTGCCTTGTAATTGCATTAACACCTCTTCCATGTTTTGTCTACTCTGTAGCCCCTACCCCATCCAAAGGGACTATGGGTTTTCTCCTAAAGCTGCTTTTCCAGCCCCAAGAGGTGTCCTTGCAGCTCCCTTGATACCATAATTGCCCAGAGGAGAAGGGTCCCTTCCCCATACATGCCAGTGGCTGAAGAGGCAGGGCTGGCCCTTCCCCTGATCAGCAGTCCATGTTGCACATCAGACTCATCCACATCTCCAACACTCCTCCTGGCCACAGCCCTGGCTGCAGGTCACTCTGCACCTGGTCAGGCATTGGCACAGGCTGCCCATGGCAGTGGTGGAGTCACCATCCCTGGAGGGATGTAACAGCCATGTGGATGTGGCACTTGGGGACATGGTTAGTGGTGGCCTTGGCAGTGCTGGGGTAATGGTTGGATTTGATGATCTTAGAGGACCTTTCCAATCTTAACAATTCCATGACTCTATGGACATGGAGTTCCCTCCCCTGTGGTGACACATGTGAGTTGAATGCTGGGCAGAACTTTCTGGTAGAGTCTGATGGCCATGTTGGGGTTGGTAGCTGTTCCCCAAAATCCCAGCTGTGCTCTGTGCAGGATGAGGTCAGGCAAATGATCCCATGGGATCTGATAAGGCAGGAAGGAGACTCTGCCCAATGCAGCAACAGGTCTCCTGTGATGTGCAGAGCCCCAGGTGTTCTGGTGGTCACTCTTGGGCAGAAAAAAAGAGCCATTTCCCCCATTTCCAGGACAGCTGCGTTTCTGGAACCCAGATGACCTGAATGCCTCTCCTGGCACTTCACTGCCCAGCCCAGAGTGGATAGAGGAGAAACTGCAAGAGGTCTGTGAGCACCTTGGTATCACCAGGGATGGTCACCTGAACAGGAAGAAGCTGATCTCCATCTGTGAGCAGTATGGGCTGCAAACAGCAGCTGGAGAGGTGAGTGACCATGTATGGGCCCACTAGTCTCACTGTGTGTTCCTGGGATTTAGTGGGGCTCCCCCAAAATCTGTTTTGTGGTTGACCATAAGTGGTGGTGAATGTGTGGCTGCTTGGAAAGCAGTTTTCAGCTCCAGCTCCTAGTTTTCCAGCAAGGTTTGTGGTGTCAAACCATCAGGCATGGAGGGCTGCTCTAGGAGCAGGCAGCTGCCAGCCCTGCACCATCCTGTGCATGTCTTCTCATGCAAGCACAGAGCAAAGTGGAATTTATAAACAACTCTTAGATTCCAAGCATGTCTCCCTAATCCTAGGAATTTTCTAGCTAGGCAGTAAATGTGGGTTAAATATTCATAGGTGGTTGCTTTTGACTTTGTGAAGACCTGTGGGCTGTCTGTGTCCTATAGCAAGAGTCCATGAGAAAATTAATTCCTTAGCAAAAAACTCTCTTGTCAACTTAGGATTTAGCTTTATTGAAATAGTCAGACTTTTTCATCTTAAAATAACATGACTTGGAATAATTTCCCTCACAAAAACGTTTTTGAGCAGGTATTTCTTTGCAGCATCTGCAATGAAATGTTTTCAGGGCATGAAGGCAGAAAATGAAAAGATAAATTGTAGAAAGGAAATAGTAAGGACTAATCTGAACATCTCTGGTCTTGCTTTGCAAAAAGCAACGTGCCCTGAAGCATGAAACAGATTTATTATAACCTTGCAGTGTCTTCCTATGCTTTTTTTTTTTTGCCTGGTCACTTCAAGCATCTGTGGTACCTTGTGCTGAATTACTGAGGTCACTCTGTCTCAGGAGCAGAATGAAATGAGTGGTTTTTTCATGTTGCTTCATTAAATGAGAGACTCCAGGATGACCAGGAGCTTTATTTTTCATGTGTGTCTGTAATTTTCCATGTGGAGGTTGCTGTACCAGTGTTAGGCTGATGTGGTACCAGGTAACTCTTGCTTGGCTCTTTTTAGAGCCTTGGGATTCGGGTGTTTTATCTGTGCCAGATTGTTACTGTGGTGGTTTTGGCAAGAGATGTGATTTCTATCCCCTTGCAGGTGCTTGAGGAGGTGCTCCATAACCTGGAGCAAGATGGGACCATGAGTGTAGAGGACTTCTTCTATGGCTTGTTGAAAAATGGGAAGTCACTGACACCCTCAGCGTCGACTCCATACAGACAGCTGAAGCGGCACCTTTCCATGCAGGTGAGAAACTGAGGTGGATCCTGGGATAAAAGGACAGGGAGAAGTCCTGAGAAAATCCCCCTTAGGCTGTCTCCTCCTTTTCCTCACTATTTGTCCCTGGAGGAGCAGCTGTGAGGGCCCCATGGAGGAGGAGGTGGTGGCAGTGAGCTGCTTTCCCCCTGCTCCAAAAGCAGATTGCAAATTCTCTCTCAGAAAAAGCTTTCTTGAGGGTTGAGGGGATAAAGCAGAAAATATCCTTGTGGTAAAGGGGAGATGGTTCCTCCTTTTAAGTCATGTGGCTTGGGGATGGCTCTGGCAGCCTGTGAAGTGCAGTAAGCAAACAGTATAGAGTTACAGAATCCCCAATGGTTTGGGTTGGAAGGACCTTAAAGCTCATCTAGTTCCACCCCTTGCCACGGGCAGGGACACCTTCCACTAGCCCAGGTTGCTCCAAGCCTCATCCAGCCTGGCCTGGAACACTTCCAGGGATGGGTCATCCAGTACAAAGTGGATGCAGGGGGAAGTGGTGGCTGAGGTAGGCTGGAGTTTGTTGGTATGCAGGTCCCACATCTTTAATTATTAACCTTTTTGGAGAGAGAGTTTGAAATCTCCCTGTCTTTGCCTGGAAGCTGAGGGCTAGATCCAAAGCACCTATGCCTATGCTCTCTGCACCTGTTTTAGGGGTGGTAACACTCAAATCCAAAAATGAACAGTGTGAAACACTTGTGGAGCACTGAGGACAGCTCTGAAAGTGCTCCTCCTTGGATTTGCTTCCAAGTGCCTGGTCTGCTCTGGTGCCCTGAGGTCAACAGCAGCGTTCCTGCTGGCTATTTGCTTGGCAGTGAGGAAAAGCAGATCTTAATCCTTAATCTCTGGAGTCCTGTGAGGGAAGTGACATTTATAAACCTTCCTGGGCACGGGGTGGCCAGATGCCTGGAGCTGCCGTGCCCGTCTCACCCTCATCCTCTCTCGGCAGTCCTTCGATGAGAGCGGGAGGCGCACGACCACCCCCTCGGCCATGACCAGCACCATCGGCTTCTCCCTCTTCTCCAGCCTGGATGACGGGATGGGATATGGCTGTGTGGAGGGTGTCCTCGACTGCTGGCACCAGGAGGGCATAGAGAACAGCCAGGAGATCCTGAAGGTAACTGCCAGCTCCATCTCATCCCCTGTGCTCTGTATTTTTTCCCCTCAGTGTGGGGTGCTGGACCGTGGCTGAATTGTTTTTTTCCTTCTAAAATTGCTGTGTTTTTCCCTTTGACAACTTGCCCAGGGCATCTGTAGCTGCTCCATCCTTGGAAGTGTTCCAGGCCAGGTTGGATGGGGCTTGGAGCAACCTGGGCTGGTGGGAGGTGTCCCTGACCACAGCAGGGGGTTGGAACAAAATGATCATTAAGGTCCTCCCAACCCAAACTATTCTATGGAAATATGCAATGCTAGTGACAAGAGATCTGGGAAATTTCCACTGCTTTCCTTTATGGAAGGATGGTGCATCCCAGAGAGCTGGAAGCTAATGATAAAAGTGCAGTGTGATTTCAGCCTAGCTCGAAGAGGTCACCTGTATTTGTTAGAAAGCAATTGAATTCCATTCCCTCCCTGAATAGCTGCACCTGCAAACCTCTCAGCACTGGGGTGACCTGAATTATTGCTTGTGCTGAGGTGCAGCACAGCACTTGAAACCCTGCCCAGCCCTTACTGTTCTATTCCAGAGTAAAAGGGTGAAGGGGGTGGAAATCATATACCTGAATATGTCCCATCCCTGTCCATTTTGCTAGAAGGTGTGGATGGAAGATGATGTGGTGCTTTCTGTTTTGAAACCATTACTGGGTTTCCAGCAATGGTGACTCTATGGCTTTGAAATATCCCTGTGGATAGTGAACATCCTGGTTGTAATAACCTCTGCCATTGCTCAGGCTTTAAAACCCTCTTGTAGCCTGGACTTGCACTGGCCAGTTTGAGAACATGGCACCATCTTCACCAGACTTGTGTGTGCATGTTTACTTTCTCTTGTGCTGGTGCTTTCCACTGGCAACTTCCTTTGTTACTTCTGTCACTGGGATGGTTTCTCTAGTGTCTGCAGTACTTCAGTCCTACCACAAGCCCTTCTGTTATCTACTTTGTGTTCCTGCAGTGTTAGGTTGAATCATAGAATTTGGGTTGGAAAATACCTCAAAGATCAAGTCAACTTAGCACTGCCTTGTTCACCACTAACCATGTCCCTAGGTGCCATGTCCATATGGTTTTAGAATGCTGCCAGGGAAAGGAAAAGCCTTTCTTCAGTGCCAGGCTGGAGGGGCTTTGGGGCATCCTGGTCTAGTGAAAGGTCTCCCTGCCCATGGCAAGGGGTGGAACAAGGTAGTCTGTGAGGTCCCTTCCAACCCAAACCATTCTGAAATTCCAAGCAGTTGCTGATGCTAACTTACTTTCTCAGAGGCTGGATCCTTGCTGCCATCCACCTCCTTCCAGGCTTTTTTGTGTTGCCTCTTTGCAAGAGCTGGGTTTTTTTTTAGCATGAACATCTCCAGCCACTTTGTTGCAGCAGCTGATCTGTAAGAAGGTTAGTGTTGTTAGGTCCTCTGGAGAATTATTGCTTCTCATCAGGCATGGGCTTAATTTTCTGTTGGTCTTGCAGCACAACCAGAACACTTCCCATCTCCACAGCTGGCAGCAGCTCTGGAAGGTGAGGAGGTGGCAGAGATGTCTGGTTTATTGCCCCCAAGGCATTTGTGACAGATTAATTAGCAAGCAGAGATCTCTTCTGAGCCTCCTTGTTTCATCCTGTCACTTCATGTCTCCAGGCTCCTGCGGGGCATGGAAGCTTGTTCCGCTCTAACGATGTGTTGTTTTTCCAGGCTCTGGACTTCAGCTTGGATGGGAAGGTGAACTTGACAGAGCTGACACTGGCCCTGGAGAATGAGCTTTTAATAACCAAGAATGGAGTGCACCAGGCAGCCCTGGCAAGCTTCAAAATGGAGATCAGACACTTGATGTAAGTCACCAGGATCGCTGGCTGTGCTTCTTCCGTGCTGCCGCTCTGTTTGGCCAAGCAGGAGCTTAAGGAGCAGCTGATGAATGGTTTCATAGTATGGTAAGGGGTTAGAATGGAAGTTTGCCCAGAGAAGCTGTGGTTGCCCCATCCCTGAGAGTGTTCCAGGCCAGGTTGGATGGGGCTTGGAGCAACCTGGGCCAGTGGAAGGTATCCCTTCCCATTGCAAGGGATTGGAACAAGATGAGCTTTAAGGTCCTTCCAACTCAAACTATTCTGAGATTTATCAATTTTGCAGGGCTAGACCACACCTGAGGAGCTCAGGTGTTGAGGTCTCAGGACCTATAGGCATATCAAGACATGTCCAGAGCTGTGGGTTCAAGTTCAAATCTAGTGACTAAATAGAATTGATAAGACCCTTGGAGAGCTTTCCTGTAAGTTCTTCTCTGATGTTCTCAAATACCTTCTTTGGTGGAGCTGTGAGTGGTGACCTAATCCAGGATGGCTGTTTCCCCTAGGGAGAGGTTTGACCAAGTGGCCCGAGAGAAGGAGAAGCTCAGGTCAGACTTGGAAAAGGCTGAGAAGCTGAAATCCCTGATGGCCTCTGAAGTGGATGACCACCACGCCGCAATCGAGCGCCGGAACGAGTACAACCTCAGGTATGGTGTCCCTGTTCATCCCTCCCCTCCTCCTGGGCATTACTGGAGGAGCATCACATGGACTTGGTGACAGAGGGTAGTGGCTTTGCTTCACCCACAGTGCTATTTGCCATCTCCTTCTTTTAACGAGCACTTCTCACTTCCAATGCCTTTGTAGGAAACTGGATGAGGAGTACAAGGAACGAATCGCTGCTCTGAAGAATGAGCTGAGGAGAGAGAGGGAGCAAATCCTGCAGCAGGCAAACAAACAGAGGCTGGAGCTGGAGCAGGAGATTGAAAAGCTGAAAACAGATGAGAACTACATCCGGGACCGCCTGGCACTGTCCCTGAAGGTAAAACACACTGGGTGTTTCCTGCAAAAGTCAGGGATGCCCTGACAAGGGAGAGTGACACTTGCAGTGTAGTTCTTGTGGAGAGGATGTGCTCTGGTGTGTGTTGATCTGGCTAAAAGTCATTTAAGCAGCATTTAGAGGCATGTCCATGAGAACTGTATTTTAGGTCTCCTCAGTGAGTGGTTTCCTGGATTCTGAAGGCTCCAGTTGGAATCTCTGCTGCCATCAAGTGCAGAATGTGTGTGTGCACAGCTGTGGGATGAGCTGGCTGCCTTGTGGCTCTTTGGCTGTCCAGCCAGGAGAGAAGACATCTCGACAGTGTTTAAAATACTGCTTTAAAAACAAATAACCAAACAAAATCTGAAGCAAACTTGTTGTTATGCCTTTTTGATAACTTTTATCCCAAGTCCAGTGTTCTCACTTGCTGTGGCAGGAGTGGATTGTGTGTGCATGGATTCATAATTCCTGGCCAGCTGAAGCTTGGAAGGGTCGTGCTTGGACTTGAGTGGGATTTACTTTATTTTGAATGAGTTAACATGTCCCAGTGTTTTCCTTCTGCAAATGCTGAGGTTGTTGGGGGGTTTTGTTTGATCCAGGAAAACAGCCGTCTGGAAAACGAGCTGCTGGAAACGGGAGAGAAACTGGCTGAGTATGAAAGTTTGGCAAGTAAACTGCAGAGGAACTTGGAGAACGTCTTGGCTGAGAAGGTAAATCCTCCTTTTCCCTGTGTGGTTCCAGAATTAAGTCACTCCTCAGTTACTACACTCAAGCTGAGGGTTTAACTGATAGCCAGGGGCTCTTGGGGTCCCTATCCAGGTGGGACCAAGGCCTGTCCTTGTGAATGGACATGGACTGCCTTCCAGCTTAGGAAATTATTCCACCTTAACTGTAATTTTACTCTTAATTAAGTAGAGAGCTTTAGAGTGAGGGACTCATCCTGCAGATCTGCAGGGATTTCTTTCTCTAGCACATAGTTTTGGATAGACTCATCATGCTGGTCCTTTCCAGGGAAGATGCTACATGAGGGGTTAGGTGTTATGTGGCATCTCTGCTGAAATTAGGTGAAAATCAAGATGATTTTGACTGTAGTACTTTAAACTCATTAGAATATCAACTTCTCCAAAGGCATTTGAGTCTGTGTATCCATAGACAAAGGATTCCCACCCAACATCTGTTTTCCAGCCTTCTTTAAAGCTTGGGATGATTTATTGCATATGCCAAAGTAGAAAGCTGAAATCAGAGGGAGCATGAGAGCTGTGGTGGGATGTCAGACAGGGTTTGTGGGGAGGTTGCTCTTTGTTCCCTACTAGCAGGGAAGTGGAGTTTATTTAACATGCAAATCCCGAGGGGAGAGGGCACAGGCTGCAGGACTCCTTGGAATGGCATCCAGGCTGTGCTGAGCAGGGCTGTTTGGTGGATGAATAACTGGGTCCTGTTCCTGTGTTTCAGTTTGGTGACCTGGATCCCACCAGTGCAGAGTTTTTCCTGCAGGAGGAGAGAGTGGCCCAGATGAGAAGCGAGTACGAGCAGCAGTGCAGAGTAAGTGCAGCCCAGGGCTGAGACCTGGCACCATCTTCACCAAGAACATCACAGAATCGGTTAGGTTGGAAAAGCTCTCTAAGATCATTGAGTCCAACCATTCCCCAGCACTGCTAATGCCACCACTAAGCATGTCCCCAAGTGCCACATCAGGTAGCAGCACAGAGGGGATGGGAAAGCTCTTTGCACAGAGGCAACTGGCAGAGCTGAGAGGGTGAGGTGCCCCAAGGGTGTGCTGGGGTAGTGTCTGTGGAGCTCTGTGAATTAAGAGTTGCAGGAACATACAGCAGACATAAGACACATGTGAGCTTTGCTGGTTTTCAGACCTGTAGTATTTTCTTATAATGAAACTGAAAATGCAAATCTTGTGTTCTCCTCCCCAAATCTTGTATGACTGAAAGACTTCTGTAAGGTGAGCCTTCATATTATCTATTTACACATGTACATTTTAATGCCTGCAGTGGTACCAGCTCATCTGTTGCCCAGAGAGGTTGTGGCTGCCTCATCTCTGAAAGTGTTCCAGGCCAGGCTGGATGGAGCTTGGAGCAACTTGGGCTAGTGGAAGGTGTCCCTGCCCATGGCAGACGGTTGGAATGGGATGAGCTATAAGATCCTTCCAATCCAAACCATCCTGGGATCCGATGATCTGTTCTGCGTGATCCTTTTCATTCACTAAAGGGCTGCCTTTGCAGAAGGCTCTCTGAACTGAAACAGCACAGCAGATTTCATAGCAAGTTGCAGTTTAAAAGCAAAAATTGTCAGGAAATTCTTGTTGAATCCATACTTGCAACTGATTTTTCTGGTTTTGAGTATGGCAGATAAAAATTAGGACCCAAGGTTCACTTTCTGAGCCTCTCAGATCTGCGGAATTCTGTGTTTGCACATTCAGGGAGTCATTTTCCTCACTAAATGCTGTTCCTGGAGCTGAGTGCGTGGCATTTGGCACAAACACTCGGAATATTTCGCTGGCAAATGGGTAGAAGTGCCAGATGGTAAATGCAGTAATGAGAGGATCTCTTTCCTCATTTGATCTCTTGCTTCTGATTTGATTTTTCGATTGGATGATGTTTGAGGAGATGCTTTTTGACTGTTTGTAAATGTTACTGAGCTGCTGTTTAATTAAAGGTCACGAGAAGAAGGAATAAACTAAAAGGTGCTGGAACACAGTATACTTTCACCTCTAAGAATTTTGCATCATAGAATCATCATAGAAACAGTGGTTTGGGTTGGGAGGGACCTCAAAGACCATTTAGTCCGACTCCCTGCCATGGGCAGGGACACCTTCCACCAGCCCAGGTGGCTCCAACCCCATCCAACCTGGCCTGGAACATTCCCAGGGATGGAGCAACCACAGCTTCTCTGGGCAACCTGTGCCAGTGTCTCACCAGCCTCACAGCCAAGAATTCCTTCCCATCTATCCCTGCCCTCTGGCAGTGGGAAGCTGTTTCCCCTTGTAGTTTGGTGATAGGAGGATGACTGTGACACCACCAGCCCAGGTGGCTCCAACCCCATCCAACCTGGCCTGGAACATTCCCAGGGATGGAGCAACCACAGCTTCTCTGGGCAACCTGTGCCAGTGTCTCACCAGCCTCACAGCCAAGAATTCCTTCCCATCTATCCCTGCCCTCTGGCAGTGGGAAGCTGTTTCCCCTTGTAGTTTGGTGATAGGAGGATGACTGTGACATGATGGATTATTGCCTTTCCCTA